AATTTATATATTTTATCTTCATTTTTTTTCCTATAAATACACTTCATTTTTACACTTCTCCTACACCAAAAAATTTAACACTTCTCCTACACTTGGACTCATTTTAGCCAATAAAAAAATTATTTTTTGTAATTATACTATTTTTTCTTGTGTAATCTTAATTTAAGTTATTTTGGTCTTGTAGTGTTATTTTATTTTCATGCGTTTAAAATTTATAATTATAATTTAAAAATATTAAATTTTTCTTTTTATTGAGAATATAATATTAAATTTATATTTAATAAATGGATCTAATGGATCCCATATTTGTATTTAAATGAATGTTAAGGGATGTGGATGTGTGTTTAAATGAAGAGAGAATTGGTGGAAAGATGATGTGGAGATTATGTGGATGTGAGAGAGTGTAATTTTTTAATTGAATGAATGGGAAAAAAAAATAAAAAATAAAAAATAACCAATGTGGATGCTCTAATAGATGACTGAATGAGGATGAAAATATATTAACTGCCCCCATATCTATAACTATATAGGTATGGTGTTCAATAAAATAAATAAGAATAAATCTCACCAATCAGATCAGATGATCCAACGACTAAAACAATGCCAAAATTTTCGTACTCATTAAGGGTGAATTAGTTATTATACTATCTCAATCACCAACCAACTGTGGGCCCCACCACACCTCACGCCACACTCCCACTCTCTCACTGTTTCACACACAAAACACACACTTTCCCATGCACACACATGACTCGCTCACACTAAACACACACTACTCGCACATCGAACACACCCTCAGGCCGTCAGTCCGACCATCGCCGCTGCTGCCAACCATTCCACCACCATCTGTCACCATCTGTCCAACCACCGCTGCCAATCAGTGCCGCCGCCCATACTTCTCTGTGCAATCTGAGGAGTCGTCTAGGTCCAGCAACCCTCCGTCGAGGAGATCCAGCATCGACTTCGGCAGGCCACCTCGAAGGACCGTCTCCACTGCCGCCTACCAGACGCGCCGGTTCCCGGTCCATTTTTAAATATCCATCTTTCTCCAAAATCCTAATTTTTTGCATTTTCTTTGCTATGCCTTGTTCATACAAATATGGAAGCCCTTAAAAGAAAATATACCAATTCCAACGGGACAGAAAAGGAAAAAACGAGAAGAGAAGAAACAAACGCAAACACAAAAATAAAACAAGAACAACAAAACAAATCAAGCAAGACACAACAAAAAATCCTAAAGAACATGCCCGAGACCACTATGTACACACAAAGGCCTAAAACACTACCACCACCCTGACCCCGAAGCGAGGAAAAGAAACAGACAAGAAAACCTAAGTGAATCTCGAAAAAAATTAATAGTTTTTAATTTATTTTTAAAATATTTTTAAAATATTTAAATTATATTTTTAAAAATATTTTTTAAAATATTTAAATTATATTTTTTTAATTTATTTTTAAAATATTTTTTAAAATATTTTAATTTATTTTTAAAATATTTTTAAAAAATAAATATTTTTTTAATTTATTTTTAAAATATTTTTTAAAATATTTTTCAAATATTTTTTAATTTATTATTTAAAATATTTTTTTAATTTATTTTTAAAATATTTTTTAATAGTATTATTTTTAGGACTCAATTTGATTGAAGACAACTTCTTGACGTTCTTTCTTCTTTGAGCCTTTTTGGAGACGGATTTCTTGATGGTGTTTCTTCTTTGAGCCTTTTTGGAGACGGATTTAGACCTTTAGACGAATCTTCAACTTGAATATCTTAGGACTTCAAGAACACCTTTAGATCTTCAATATAATTACTGTGAGCTCTTGAACTTGAGATTTGACTTATGAGAAGTGTTTTTTAATTTTAATTTTATTTTTATTTTTTTGCTTTGAAAAAGCCCTTATTTATAGGTGCAAAGAGTTTTAGATTTGATAATCGTCATAGAGAAAGCACAACCGACTCTCACTCTTGTCTCTCTCTCAAACCCTTTTTCCCCAAATCGTCTCGCCACTCGATTCCAATAAATTGTTGCCTCCCCTCCGCTTAATTCTCTTCCCCACCATGGGGAGACCTTCATCGGGGCGGTAATGAGTGGCTTGTCACTCCATTTTTGCTCCCTTGTTCAGCATGGCGCTTCACCGCCTTCTTCTAGTGGCCATGGTGGGTTTAGTCGGGGGTGCCGACAGATTGGAAGGGTGCTCGTTGTCGCCGACGTGTATGTTGCCTTGGTGGTGGATGAGCTTGAGGTCCGTGCCGTTTTGGGCCTCCCTTGGTACCTATCCGCCCCTGGTGCTGGGAGGAAGGTCCGACGGTGTCTTGGTGGTGCTGCAACCTATGAGGTGACCACGATCGCCAGTTTGGCGATGAGGGGTCCAAGGTGTCGGTCTCGCGATGAGGTCTTGGAGAGGCTCCTTTGGCAAGGGTTCCGACTCGTCTGGACAGGTTCTAGTTAGGCTTTATGCAGTTTCTAGTTTTTTGCAGGAGTTTTGAATCTGTCTGTCGTGCGGGTGCTGTCTCACTTGGTGGTTCTTGGAGTTATGTTGCAAATGGGGAGGGCTTAGTAGTTCTTTTAGCTTGTGTTTTTCTTCTTTCTGTGTTTGTGTGTCTTGGTTGGTGTGCTTAGGTTGTTTAGTATTGTGTGTTTAGTTGAGTTTTTTTTGTTCTTGTGTTGTGTTTTTCTCCCGCATGGGAGTTTTCTTTCTCCAGTTTTGGAGTTTGTTCGTTTTTGTGTTGTTAGTGGGTGCGTTGTTCTAGTGTAGGTGTTAGGCGATTCTGTGGATCTGCCCTCCCTCTAGATTCGGCTCTTGAGCTGTCTGATTCGACTTTTGGGATGTTTTCTAGATGTATGTGTGGGTTTTTTCTTCTATATAATTTCTATCATTAAAAAATAAAAGATTTGATATAATTTATTTCCTTATCTTAAAATTTGATATGGTGGGTAACAAATATATATTTTATTGGTTATATATCTTATTTATCTTGAATTTTATGTCGAAAAATAAATAAAAATTATTAATAAATAAATTATTAAAATTTGAATGTTGTATTAATTATGGCTTGAACAGCTATCTTTACCGAATAAAATAAATTTTGTCACATGTGCCAGAATGTATCATCCAAGACTAATTAATTTTTACCTACTCCGACGTGCCTCACTCAACGAACGAACCTCGTCCTCCTCGTCTTTATAAGTTGACTATGTAATTTCTATTGCTAAGCTAAGCTACAGCTTTCTTTTATTCTTAGCAGGTTCTCCATTAATAAACCCTAGTGAAAGTGATAAAGAGATGGCTCAAACAACTCCAAACCACACGCAGACTGTTTCGGGCTGGGCTGCTCATGACCCATCGGGCCTCGTCACTCCTTACACCTTCAAACGCAGGTACGTACATTTATCATAACTATTAAGCCACTCCATTAATTGGTTGGTGTTGTTAATTTAGCTTTTAATTAAACCCGGTCCGAACGAGTCTTTCAACCGCCGGTTCTTTTATGCATTTCAGCGGCCGGACCGATGTTTTCAGGCGACAGGGTCAAATATTCTGTTCGGTCAATTGATTAATCTCAGTAATTAAGTTTTGAAATGTAAGAATTAGAGGCATATATTGGGACAGATAAGTTGATAATGAAAAATATAAGTAAATCGGCCAATATATGTATTTGAGATTTCAGTTTGTTTCGTTTTACACTATCTTAAGCTCAAAATCATGCACCAATATATATTAATATTTTTTTTTTAATAATTATTCTCTTTATTTACATAATTTAATCATTTTCTGTTCCTTATACTTTGCTTACTAGTATTCGATCTTGTGCATATGCACCAGATATTTAAATTATCATAAATTATATGTATGTATGTGCATAATATTAAAATATAAGTTAGATGATAATAGTATCACTTTTTAAAAATTCAACTTCGTCACTATATTGGTTGCTTAAAATAAAACGGATAATGTAGTTTTTATAAATTTAAGAGATCCTAACATATTAATTATCTTAAAAATTATTATTATTATCATCATTATTTATTAAATTTTAAGATGTTTATTTATACCACTAAAGTCAAATAAAATTATTCTGATAATTAAATTTTTTAAGAGGTTTGGTCGACATTCTTTAAAAATTGGATTATTCTGGTTTTCGCCAATTAAAATTATTTTGATTCGATTAATGTGATTAGTTTAAAGAAAATAAGTAATGCTGGTCAGTATTTTTTTTGTGGGGAAGTGTAACGTATGTATAATTAAATAGGTTTTATTTTATGTTTAGCCAACAACTATATATATACATATATAGTTTTTCTTTCTACTTTTAAAAATTTCTTATACTACTATATAACTGAAAAACAAAAGTTGGAGACATAATACAAAATGTGAGGAATAGTAATTTAGTATAATTAATTTTACTATAGAGTCATAAGATGACTCGGCTTATGAAACATTCATCGTATACTATTGAAAGTATTCCAAGAAAATCGTAAATGCTCTTGCAAAACAAAGTGTAGATCATTATTTTTTGGATTAGATATGAACCTATCTTCCAAACTTAATGAATTTTGTCAGGGAAAATGGTATCAACGATGTGACCATCAAAATCCTCTATTGCGGCATTTGTCACACCGATGTCCATCACGTCAAGAACGACTGGGGCATAACAATCTACCCTGTTGTTCCCGGGTAACACACAACATTAATATTTATTTCGTCCCTTCAAATAAACAAATTTGAATTGAAATTACCTATTTTTTTTTCATTCTCCTCCGAATGTGCGACTTAAATTAGGCATGAAATTGTTGGGATCATCACGAAAGTGGGCAGCAATGTGACCAATTTTAAGGTGGGCGATCGAGCTGGAGTCGGGTGCTTGGCCGCAACTTGCTTGAGCTGCGAGTACTGTAAAGAAGGCCAAGAAAATTACTGTGATCAAGTCCAATTTGTGTACAATGGCATTTTCTGGGATGGCAGCATCACTTATGGAGGCTACTCTGAGTTTCTTGTGGCTGATCACAGGTAATTCATATTTAACAGATATGTTATGTGATGGCCATAAAGGGCCTAAGTAGGTAATATACCTTCATTCTACCACTCACCTTCTCTATCACAAATCATTAGGCCTATCAATCCATTATACCATTTTGGCAAAAATGCATTTTTAGACCTGTCGGTTTAACACCATAGCAATTTCAGTCCCAAAATTCCAACTTTTTGGCATTTCGTCCTATGATTTAGTATTTTGCTGCAATTTCACTCTTCCGAAACTGCAACAAAATTTTTAACTACATGAATGAAATCGCAACAAAATTTGCAATTATAGGACTTATATTGTTAATAAAAAAATTCTACAAATTTGGAAAGTTGGACCAAAAGACAAAATGTTAGAAACTTGGAATTAAAGATGCTATGGCGTTAAACCAACAGAACTAAAACTGCAATTCAGCCTACTGTTAAATAAAATGTCATACTAACTATTTCTATCATTTGTTAGAAAAAAACTAGGTATATTTCTTAAACAATAAATTCTTAATTGTGTCATATAACTAGGCATACTTTTACTCATGTTATTCTCTATGAAAAAAAACATAACACCATCAGTCTCGACATGGACATATTAGCAAGTTGGCAGTACTAAAATCACGACTATCTTAAACTAATTTAAATGATGAAGGTACGTTGTTCATGTCCCGGAGAGTTTACCGATGGATGCTGCAGCTCCCCTTCTATGTGCTGGAATCACTGTATATACTCCCTTTAAAGACAATGGGCTGATAGAGTCAACCGGGAAGAAAATAGGGATAGTCGGGCTCGGAGGTCTGGGCCATGTTGCCGTCAAGTTTGCAAAGGCTTTTGGTCACCATGTCACCATAATTAGCACCTCCCCGTCAAAGGAGAAGGAGGCCAAACAGCATTTGGGTGCAGATGATTTCATTTTGAGCACCAATCCAGAACAAATGCAGGTTTTTTTTTCCCCCTTTTTTGTTGTAAAAAGCAACCTTTTGCGAGCTAGAATTAGACTGAAATGACTCTTAACATATTGTTGCAGTCAAAACGGAGAACTCTAGACTTTATTTTGGACACGGTGTCAGCCAAACACTCCCTTGGACCGACACTGGAGTTGTTGAAAGTGAACGGGACTCTGGTGATTGTGGGTGCACCAGATAAGCCCATGGACCTGCCATCTTTCCCCTTGATTTTTGGTAAGCCACATTCTGTCCACTGTAAGACAAAGTTCAACTAAGATCTACATGAGACACTAATGGTTTTCATGTATAAATATAGAGTTGCACTTTTAAAGATGAAATCATTAATATATCATTGATTGCTAACAGAACTTTCATGCCAAAAACAAAACAGGGAAAAGAGTTGTGAAAGGGAGCATGATCGGAAGCATTAAGGAGACGCAAGACATGATGGACTTATGCGGGAAGCACAACATAACATGTGACATCGAACTTGTTACGACAGATTACATTAATGAAGCCCTCGAGCGATTGGTCAAAAACGATGTTAAATACCGGTTCGTGATTGACATTTCTGGTGAATCTTCAAAGCACTGAAAGTGTTTCGGGTGAATTACTGCTTGTGTTATTTCCATATCATCTTCTTTAATTTGTTTTTGCAACCATGGACAGAATTTCTTTTTCTGATGAACTTTCAGTTTGCAATGGTGAGAAACTATGCTACATTTATAGCATGAGTGTGATGGATACATTACTAAAATTTTATATGAATAACGGCACGCACATACATATATATACACATACACACACATATGGCCAAATGTCTTGTGCATTCATATGAAGATATCAAACTGAATAATCTAGCAAATGTGTATTCAACATCTTATCGACTAAATTTTAACCTGTAAAAGAAAAGGAAAAAACAAAATCCATCATCCAACTGAAAATACTTGTGATGCAATGTCTATGCAAATAATTGAAAAATGTGGCTGCCAACAAAAGCCAGTGTTTTTGGTAAAGTTATTAGAGGCGCAGAGTTGGTGATATTAGTTGTCCTGATGAAGATCGAGGCATAAGATGAGATCTTTTGGTAACTAAATGTCGTGTACTAAATAAAAATTTTAAAATTAAGTCATCACAAGTTTGAATAAAAGCGCCGACTTACACGGACCATTTGTAGCGACAATCTTTTCCTGTTCGTTTGTCACGAAAACTATGGTTAATTGTGACCCTCTGTAGTAGCAGCATCAGGCTCACTGTTTATGCTTAAATTTCCAATCAATGTTAACACACATACACACACACACACACACACATATACAAATTCGAGGAGATCTTACATTATATATAAAATCAAACAAAGCATTGGCATAAAGATAATGTGAATGTGAATGTAATTTGAGAAAGAAAAAGTGTAAGCGTAGAGTTCTAGAAAGAAAAGCAACTCCGGTCTTTTGAATTTATGATAAATTGATATGATCTGCAAAAGGCCGTGAAGCAATTACTCCAACTGTTGTTTTTTATCTGTGCACGTTTTTCGTTTGCTACAACAATTCAAATTAAGCCTTCCAATTAATTCTTCTATATTCCACATTAAAATCCATTAACTCTTCAAGTCATGACAAGTGACCATGTAATAAAATCCATCCAAATCCACTGCATTTACTTTACTCCGTTGACAATCTAGAAACTAGATTATTTCGTAGAACACGAAGAGTAAAATAGAAGGATCGACACCAAGAAACAACTCAACATCAACGCTGTCGAAAAACCAGAAACAAAAACCTAAAATGTAAAAAAACAAAGTTTAAAGTTGAAAACTTATGGATAACGTTAGAATTCGAAAATGCCTTTTTAATGAAAGGCCTAAGACCTTATCTGGATGTATTAATTACACCTCTCATGCAGAAAAAAATTTTCTCACTACTTTTTGCTGTGGTTTCACACATAGAAGTTTAACATATAAGTAACGTTGTCATCCGTATTATAAAGATAGAACTCGAAGCCAGGGCTTTGTTGCATATATAAGCAGAGCTAATCTATAGATGCCACCTATTCTTGTTTAGCATTATTCATATTTCTCTTCTCCATCAAGACGCGAGACGGATCCATCAAAGTTCTCATTTTCAGTCAAGTACACAGTAATCCATTCAATGTCCAAGATGAGGAAAATGTTATGGTCCAAACTAAGGTGGTCTTCCAGGAGGAAAGGTGTGTTTCTAATCTGTACTTCAAACTTTCTTGTCGTGATATCAGATATATGTAGCTTACAATTCATCTTCCTTTCAGCCATAGATTAAATGACCCCTCATTCCTTCTAAGTTTCCTTTCTACGCCTCAATAAAACTAGTTTTATGTCGAATTCGATAGCAATTACTTATTCAATGTTCTAGGCAGAATTGTAGTTATTTTTAATGCTAAAATGCTATCGAACAGCTCATCTAATGTTTGACACATACAATTTCTGAATGTACCCTTGAATATCTAAGCATTTTTTTTTTTTCTTAAATTCAGGCTGTCACGGTGAGGATGTGAAAAGCCAAAAGGGAAATCCAAATGTGAGCGAAGAATACAACGAAGCTTTCAGGACAAAATCGTACATGGAACTATGCAATAAAGTCGAAGACCAACTCGAAACAAGAATGTGTACCGATGAAGAAGAACAATCTCCCTCATCCTCCCCGTCTCTCAAACAGCCGCACAATGAACATCTCTCCGAGTATTTATTGGATCCTCCTCAAGAAACTCTAACTTCCATACTCAAAGGCACTCAAAACCACCAATTCGTCATCAACTACTTGGACAAGAGCCAGGAAGCCAGCAGAGTATGCGAACTTGTCCTCCAAAACGTGCTTCAAGCAAGCGCCAACCACCACCCCATAAACAACATAACAAACCTAATCAAGCAAACTCCCGACCCCAAGCGGTGGACCCACCACCACTATGACACGCTGTACAAGAACCTAGCCTCATTCGCCCGCCAAAACAATCCGTTCCAATCAACCCCGGACAAATTCCTCGAGCTGCACGACAGCTACATTCGCCTGCTCCACCAACTGACATCCAAATACAAAAAGAAGAAAAGGAGAACGACACTAATAAAGCACGCCAAGCGAGGTCTGTCTGCTTTCATGCTGGTGGGGTCCACTGCGCTAGCTGTGTCCCTATTGGTCCTCGCAACAAACAGCGTGGTGTGCGTGGTAGCGGGCCCGGGGCTCATCGCGTGCTGTCTGGGCTTCCTGGCGGTGAAAAGGCTCAGGCGGCAAAGAAAACAGAAGTTGAGGAAAGCAAAAGCGCGCAAAAGTGGGGTTGTAGCCCAGCTGGACGTGGCGGCCAGAGGGGTGTACACACTCATAAACGATCTCGACACGTTGTGCCGGCTCGTTGGGGGGTTGCACGATGAGGTGGAGCGCAGGAAGCTTGTGGTGGGGACGTGTGTGGAGAGGGGGAGGGACGAGATGGTGAAGGAGGTGGTGAGGGAGCTGCAGGCTGACGAGCCTTGGTTCCTGGAAGAGGTCGAGGAACTCAAGAGGCACGTGTGTTTGTGCTTCCTAAACATAAACCGGGCGAGGAGGCTACTTTTACAAGAGATTGTTTAAGTTTGAATAATTTATATGAACCTAGTTTGTGGAATAAGATCGATACGTCATCTTAGCAGTGGCTCGGCGTTCGAGCATAGATTTGATATTTGAAATATCAGATCATAGTTTTATTAGGTTACATTTATGTTTGCTACTAAGTTGCATGATAATAGAGCCTTGCAAGTTGTCTAGAGTTCCATATCTTTTGAGCAGAGTCGGAGCTCACAGCGGGCCAATTACATCTAACTGCAGAAATTTCGTCCAAAGCTAGCCTATCCTTTTCAACAGAGTGCTAAAACTGATAACAAGGATACACATTATTGCATTTAAAATTCACTTAAAACAGAAAGCCACGACAAACAAATCTATGAAGACAAGACTTACCTCAAATCAAAACAATGAATTGTATAATAATGTCTTCTCCTCGACAGAAGCAGCAGTTTCTAACACCGATTGATTTAAGTCACAGCGCTGTTCTTGACTTTTTCATATTGTTCAGAATCCAGCATCGAATCCTTTACCTCGGCACAATTTTGAAAAATTGTAAACCTTACATTTTATTTGTAGGGTCAAAAAGTTGTGAGCAACAGCAGAAGAAAGTGGTTTAGGGCAAATCTTCCACACCTTCACCTTCTTCTATACGGTCTTCCACTTCTTCTTCTTCTTCCTGCTATTCGAAAAATTTTACGGTCCCATTACAAACTATACCCTTCGGTTTTGTTTTGTAAGAGATACTTGATCTAACGGTCACAAGTTCTAAAAATAGTTTCGTAACGGGACCGTAACATCTCTTATATTATTTATCCTTTCTACACCTAAACAACTAATGTTAGATCACATTTATCCCCAAGTCAAACTAATAACACACTTGAAAGTAAAATAAAATAAAATGTACGAACTATGCTATTGAATGTCTTTTTAACTACAAAAATAAAGTAATCCTATAATTTGGTATTTTTTGGGATCTATTTTCGATCTATTTTTTGATGATTTTTTAATGTCCCATCGAATTGAATTGTTTAACAAATTGAGGGCTCGCCGTATCATGACCCGATGATGGTTGCGCTGGAGATCGTACCGAATCAACTACATTCCCTGTTGAGTGAAGTTACAGTGCTGAGGAAGCTACTTGAAGCCGACTATGTGGAGATCTAGCGGCTAAAGAATGAGGTAGCATCGTCCTAGGGCGTGAAATGGTCTTGGAGGGATCTTGTCAATATGACCATGCTTCGGGATACGGTCGTGGTCTAGGTGGAGTCCCAATCCATCGAACTGCAAGAGTTAAGGAGTCAGTTGGCTAAGACAGACTATCTTCATTGGGAGGTTCAGTGGAACCTTAAGAATGGAGATCTCAATATGTCGCGCCTAGAAGCGAGAATGGAATATGTGGGCCGACTCTAGGCAGAGGTGGATGAAGATGGCCACACAGGGTCCATGGCCTCTATTACTATGATTGTCGGCAAGAGTCTCAGCATCGCTGGGTTCTGAGAAGAATCCAAGGGGGCGTGAAGTCACCTTTGTTGAGAAGGTCCCGCCCTGGAAGGCTAAACAGTTGGATTTGTACATCCATTATGTTTTGCTTGATGAGGATAAGGTCGCCGTGCTCGAGGGAGAGATGGCAGAATCTAACTTTTCTACCAAGCCGTTCTCGCGGTGGATCCTGGAGTTGCATGAGGCTGAGGTCATTGAGGTAGACTTTTCTCCTAATGATGGCGGGCTGCTAAGGAGTGAGTTGTCCGGTCGTGACCATGTGTTTAGGAAAGCATGCCTAGGAGACAAAATAAAATTGGTGCTTGGTCTAGATGTAGGGCATCTCGGGGGGAGGTATCTATGAGAGTGAGAGGGAGCATGCCTTCCTCGCCTTAAAAGATTAGACGATCTGGTGTTGTGATGATTTTGAAGATAGCCTTACATATGGTTTGATGATGTCTCTTTCTGACTTCTAAATTTATCTCATGCTTGTAGGATTTATTGAGAGAAAGACTATGTAATTTTTTTCTTTTTTTAGTAAGTGTAACTTACTATGTCGATTAGAGGATTTGGACTATGTAAACTTCGAAGTGATTCGTTCATGCCGATGTAAGGTTCCGATGTAAAATAATTGAACATGTGTATCAATTTTTTGAGGTGATATAATGGAAATGAGGAATTGAGTTTTTTTTTTAGCGCATTTTATATACTAAGAATTTGAGATCGACATCTTTGATATAAATTAAAGTTCCATACAAGCACACCAAAGAAGAAGTCATCAATGGCTAGCCTCCACCAACCTTCTTCTTTCACATTTCATTTGTCAACAATGGTGTGCTTGTTTGTATCTATAAATAGGCTGCTTCTTCTATTAATTTGAACCATCCT